ATAAGTAAAGCTCATATCTCAGAGTATATGAAAATACGTTGAAAAACAACGAAGTTATAATTTTTTTCATTTAATTTCCCGATTGTTCCTATGGCAGCTATAAGATATAGTGGTCCGATTTTTATAAAATTAAAACCGAAAATCTGAAATAATATATATTGGCCATATCTCAAAAATTATGCAAAAATGTTGAAAAACAGCTATGATATAATTTTTTTTCTACAAATTTATCAAACATTTGTATGGCAGCTGTATGATATAGTCGTCCGATCCGGCCCGTTCCGACATATATAGCAGTGAGAGAATATACAAAAGTTTATGCAAAGTTTCATTCAGATGACTTTAAAACTGAGGGACTAGTTTGCGTAGAAACGGACAGACGGACATGGCTAGATCGACTCTGCTGTTGATGCTGATCAAGAATATATATACTTTATAGGGTCGGAAACGTCTTCTTCACTGCGTTGCAAACTTCTGACTGAAATTATAATACCCTGCAAGGGTCTAAAAATTGACTTTATGCCAAAAAAAAACAGGGAAAAACCATAGTGCAGTGAGAGTATTCAAAAGACTATATGCAAAGTTTCCTTCAGAAAGTTTTAAAACTGAGGGACTAGTTTAGTAATCATTTTCCATATCTATCTCGACTAGTGCAATAAATATAAGGTAACCCTTGTCGCTCTTGGATATTATTAAAAAATACATATTTTAAAATTTTTATAAAAGGCTCAAGCAACTATTTATTCATTATTTTCATAACTACTAATGGTGCGGGAGATATAAATAAGAGGGAGCGAAAAACTAAAAAAAAAAGGATCGCGTCAGCACTTGAAAACTATGGAATTTCGGAGCCATCTGGCAATGCCGGATGAGGACAGGGACTCCAGCCCTGAACAGCTGATACAAATCGAATAAATTGCAGGATTCCGGTTACCCTCAAATCGGAAGGCTTCCAGCAAAAATATTTGATATCGAACAGGGCGCCAACATCTGATCGAGGCCTATATAAGACGACACATTGGCACGGGCCAAGGTTGAGTTCTAGATAGCCGGTCTTTATGAGAACAGAGTAAGGTTCTTGTAGCCGAACTCTAATACGCATGGGCATGGGACAAGCTTATGTTCTTGAGGAGGACAGGGTAGCATAAAATCACAGTGTAGCACAGCGTGGAAACAACTAGAACCGCCGCAGGTCAATCTGAAAAGGAACTGGGAACCAGAGCTTGCAAAAAACTGTCGACCGTTTCTAGTTGTCTGCATATATCTGTCTCTCTCTCACTCTTTACGAAACGACTCAGAGAGCACCCGTTCATGAGTTCTTGGAATGAGCTCGCGCGCGTTCAGAGCGAACTCGTTTTTTTCTATTCTGCTTTGTTTCGGTTGTCCCATGAACCGTGGTCAGTGAACAAAAGTCTTTTGCGTATGTATTGGAATACATTCACACGCATAGGCAAGCAAATCCTTAAACGTTTAGTTGCGATTTAAAAACAACATTGTCTAAAACTTTTCTTTTCTTTTTAATAGCATTTTGTTATATGGACACTTGTTCACAAAAATAAATAAATAAAAAAAAAAACAAACAAAGGTGAAGAACGTTCGCGCTGAGCTGTTCGGTCCCTTGGTCTTTTGCTGGCTCTCTGTGTGCGAACGTTTCTCGTCCCGCTCTTTACGCACGGCTCATTGAAAGGCCGAACTAAAAAAAGGTTCAACGAAAAGCGTTCAACAAAAAACCGAAATGAAGACAGCAAAACTCCCTTGCTCTGAGCGAGAGGGAGAGAGTATGATCTTTTTCGGTTTTACTCGCAACGAGAGCACAGGAAAAACCCCGTCGACAGTTATTTGCAAGCTCTGCTGGGAACAGATAATGACGGGTAAACACAAGATAGCAGAGAGGCGTTAGGAATCCCTAGAGTGAATCCCAAATTGTAAGTCAATACAGTTTATGGCAAACAAATAAGGATAATAAGGACTGACAAGAGTCAACCACGGGTAAACAGGGCAGCAGAGTGGGGTTAGCAATCCTCAGAGTGAATCTCAAAATCGTAAGTCATAAGTTCAAAATTATGCTACATGCTCTAAATAAATTATTTTTATTCTCAACCCAATGGTTGTTAAAACTTCGAAAAAATGCATGACCTCTTGGCGTGTGTTCTTGTTAGCCGTCATATTTTAGATATATCATTGCCAATGGCCAGTCAGCCAGGTTCGAGTAAGTAACGTCATAGAAAATCTTCCGAGTGCCTTCAAAAACAAGTTGCGGTGCATCCTAACTGTCCACATAATCATCCGATACCAAAAAAGTATTTTTCATTAGTTAAAGAAAAAATGTCCCGAGGTACCCACAGGACGTTTTTTTTTTTTTTTGTATTTTTTATCATTTGTTTTTTTGTCGACATATGTATCAGAGAGCTGCAACGATCAACATTTTTTCGATCATACCCGATCATTGACTCGGATTTTTTGTGAGCCAAAACTTTGCATCAACAAAATTGAATGATCGTTAGCAAGCGTGATCGAAGCGAACATTCAGTTCCGATCACCCTTGACTTGGTTCGGAATGATTTTTTTTGATCGTACGCGTTGTATGAGCAACAAAGAATGATCGAGACTGCTGCTTCCATTCAGGCCGATCGCAATCATACCGTTCGGTCACACCGGTTTTGATTTGCTCATACCGAGTGGTTCGGTTCAGTCTGACGAAATTTAGCAGAATCTCGGACGCAAACTGTTTGTTATTTTTATAAGCATTAAATATTAAGTCTTTTCTGCATTACATAAATTTTAGTTATACGAGTAAATTAAGAAGAAATAACTAAAGTCATTTGTATCAGTTAGTTGAAACGAAACTTGTTTCCTTTAAAACATTTAAATGTTTACATATGGGCATTTCCACGGAAAGGTCCACCGCGGCCAAAACACTTAAACTTCTCTAAAATGTTTTTTTTCCAACATAATAACATTAGGCTTTATCATATTCTTAAACAAATTTCGAAATATTCGAATGCATATTCGCGCAAACACGATTTTTCATTATTTTGATGAAAAACGTCATAAAAATGGGCCCGTTTTCTTTTGATAATTACATCCAAACCGAGGCATTATGCTTTGAGTGTTGTTTACTAACATCACTAGAAGAATGCAAAAAGTCGAAATAAAATGGATATATGCTCTTCCAATTTACTTATAATAGTCAAAATTACATGCAAAGTATGATGATAAAAACTGTCGCGTGCGACATGTCGCGTGCGAATCTGATTAAAATTAAATAACAAATAAACTACGCTATATTTCTGATTATAAAAAAAAAGCATATGAAACTGACATTATTGCATCACCTTTTAAAATTTGTTTCATTAAAAAGTCTCTGCCGTTTCGCTGAAATCAGTTTAAACAGCTCGCCGCGAAAGTGACTTCTGTTTTTGTCGCGTGCAAATCCTTCAGTTTTTTTAAATTTTCTTAAATTTGAGCAAACACTCAAAATCAACATTTGCACCAATTATAGCCCTAGGCAAGAGCTATAAGTTAACATATATAAAAAAAATAGAAATGAAATGAACCACACTTTTTTTTTGCTTTGAATGCGTACGAATGTCGCGTGCGCCATTATGGAAATACCCATATGTAGATATGTTAAAAAAAAAATTTTAAACATTTCGCAAGGTAATTCTCGATCTGATTGCATCATTCACAATCAAATCATGCGCAACATGAGTGAAGCCTGAGCTCTTTTGAATCGTTGGACTTGATCGTTCTTTTTCTGCACAATCAGTACCGAATCGAAACTTCCGATCATCATACCGGTACCAAAAAAACAGTTTGAATCAGGGAGCAGAGCAATCAAGCCAACTGAACGAGATCGTTCGTTTTGTTCGCGAAGATCGATCGAGCATGTTGTGGCGATCTTCTGTGTTGAGTTGTGATCGGCTTGAGCGTTGTTGATCGATCCGGACCGATCATACTCAATGCAGCTCTCTGATATGTATGTGTAACGTGGAATGATTGGTAATGTTTGCCTGACATGGCCAGATAGCGGCATTAGAGCACTAACAAAAAGCCTAGTACATAACAGCCGACACAGCTTTTTAGAACCAAGAACCGGAATATAGTGTTCCGAAGGATTTTGACGCGCTGAACTCAAGTGCGGCTTCAAAATTTTTCTATACGTCAGGGTTTCGAGATATTTTAACCTAAAAGTGCAAAAAGCACGATTTTTTAAGGGGGTATCCTGAATTACAAGGTCAAAAAAATCGATTTTTTGTTTATTGCTTAGCTTTATTGCTTATTGCTTATTGCTTATCGATAGATAAACTATCTAAGAATATACCACAAAAATTTCAGAAGCCAATTCGAAGTATTTTTGAAGATACAGAGATGAAAGCATTTTTACGATTCTTTCGAATTGGCGGGAAATATAACAAAAAAACTTATTGACCGATTGAAACGAATAAAGGCTTATTCTCTTTAGAATTAAATTCTCTTCTATTTGAACTAAAACGGTTGTTGAAAACCGCTTTTTTATATTTTTTACAGCATGTTAAAGTCAATATTTTATCCCGAAAAATGCATTTTTTTTTTAAACCTGAATAAAAGTTCCGATTTCACGATTTTCTCCGGTTTTTCTTAGTTCATTTAGACAATGCACTTATAAAAATTGAAATTTTTTTGGATTTTTTGTTTTAGACAAGAATTACGAGCTGCACATTTCCCGCCAATTAGGGACTGCTGTGACGAGGCGCTTCAGTGAACTACTTATAAGTCCGCCATTTTGAAATATATATATTTTTTTTAAATTTATTTAAGCACTTTAAATATGTATAAAAATACACCAAAAATTGCAAGAAGCTTGGTCGTTTCTTTACCTTCCAAAAAAAAATCGCGAAAAACAAATAATTTTTGCCTCCTAATTCAGGATACCCCTTAAGGTACATTTGAAGGAGTATAACTTTAATAAGATTTTTTGTTTTAAAAAATTAATAAGTGAGAAATAAAAGTTCGCTGTATTCATAATCAATAAGAAGTAAATATGTATTAACCATTATTTCTGTACATTTTTTATAATCGAATATAAAACCTTGTACATTATTTTAGTTCAGAAACAAATGATGCTTCTAATTCTGCAATCATAATATCATCGCTTCCGTCTTTGCAATTTGATGTTTTTAAAGATATTTCGTTTTTCTCAAACTTCTTAAGGTTCTTATTTTTTAAAATCTGCCAGGTATCTTCTACATTTTGCTTGGCATTTTTCACATCATTGCTTAATGGTAAAAATGTGACTTCATTTTCCCTTGCAGTTATTTGTTTAGAATCATTATCAAAACCATTTCCAAAAGATATCGATCTATTTAATGAATTATTATCCGGACGTATTGTATTCAGTTCTTGTTTGCTCATTATCATTAAATCCGCATTTAGACTACAATTTGCATTGAGAATGACACTTTCACTGCTATTTCGAGAAAGATTATCTATCTTATCTTCTTCTTCTATTTGGTTAGACAATAATTGATTACTGTTTTGCAGACTGGATATTTTTGACAACGATTGTTCCTTGGTTCTTACATTTTCATTTGCTGAATTTAAGTACCGATTATCAGTAAAATTTTCTTTAAAATAAATATCGCTCTTATGAGAATGAATCAATTGCTCTAGAGCTTCAAAGTATGCGTTTTGGCTTAATTCGATGCTGTTATCGCATAAACGAAATGCGCCCATAAGGCTTATTATTATTTCCACAGGTGTAGGGCATCCACAATACCGCGATTTCGATAAGAAAGTGATAAATTTGTATAATTCCAAGCGATCATTCCAAATACCACTTGAACATGGCTTTGTCATCTGATTTGAAAGCATTTGTATACTAATATCCAAAAGAGTGTTGTGCACGTCCTGTAAGAAGTATTCTTTAAAAAAAATCAATTATAAACTTACAGAATCTTATACTTTCCTTCAAAGCAAAACTTTTTATCATGTGTCCAGATGATGATAACAACTGTTGCAGGCAAAAATAGGCTTGCTGGCGAAGCATGTTATTATCTTCATTTCCGATGGAGACGTCTAACATAAGAAATACTTCACCAAGATGTTGTTTATGTCGCTTGATAGACTAAGGACAATAAAAGTGTTTTTACAATTTAATAATTTTCTTAATCATATTTACCGAAAACGAATTTTGGGTCCGCGGCATTAAGTCGATCATTATTTCTTTTATAACAGCCTCTGAAATAATTTCGGAATGGCTTCCTTCTTTCAAGGTCAAACACCATATTGACACGACTCTATAAACTGTCGTGCGTAGCTTGCTAAAAATAAAAAAATAAAATAAGTAGTCAGGTAATAAATTAGTAGCCACAAAATGTTTTTTTTTTTTTTGTTTTATATTTAAAATTGGTTACACCAATATCAGCAATCGCATAAATGTTTGATTACAGTTAGATTTTCGCCTCATTTTAGTGAATTAATTTCAATTAGAACATATATGAAAAACTCATTTCCATACAAGTTGTTTGCCATTGGAACGACCTCCTAAATAAATAAATAATATGGCGTGAACCACACTATGACTAAAACAGGAAACGAAGCTAACTTCAATATCCTTGCATATTTTAATTGGATCGCATCAATTTAAACGGATATTTTTAGTAAAGTGCATAAGTTATTTATGAATAAAGACGGAACTTTTTATAATTTACCTATCTCCTTATATTAGGGATGTCGGAAATATATCATAATATCGATATTTTTCCTCTTAAAAAAATATTATCGCGATATTTTTTGGGCAAAAATAGGCGATATTGTTATTTTTGAGATGATATTTCCGATATTTTATGTTTGGTCGGTTCAAAAGCAGAAAGTGAAGAAAAATGCAAATTGTGAAAATGAGTTCGCAAAAGAGTCACCGATGAAATCATTAAGCAGGTGATTGGAAATAAACAAACAAAAACATTAGCTTCGTCTGGAGGAGAAATAAAAGCTTTCTAAAACTGCACAAAGGACCGTAGTCCAGTACTCCGAAAAAAGGAAATGCACAAATCACAAATATCAACTATGCTCATGCAAGCCTAGGTGGCATTAAGTTGTCCGATCACGCCTGGTAGTTCGGTTTAATCTGAAGGGTTGGATTCTGCTATGAAATGTGTCGTATGACACCAAAAAGATTGGCAACTTGTACTTGTTTGAAGGTGGCCACAGTAAATGTTTTGCTATGTCAGCGGTTGATGGGATGTTGCTACACAAGAGATACGGCCACATTAATTTCTCTAGCATGAAAGAGATGGTATCCAAAGGGATCGTTCGTGGGATAGATAATATTCAGTTACCAGAGAATATTATTTGCAAAACGTGCATGGTTAGCAAAATCCATGTCCAACCTTTCCCAACAGCAACAAGTAATCGGGCTAAGGAGCTTTTGGAGTTGATACACGCAGATGTATGTGGACCTTTCCCAACACTTTCTCTCGGAGGCTCCAAGTATTTCCTGACTTTCAACGACGTTAAGTCCAGGAAGATTTTTGTTTACTTTCTGCGTGGGAAGAACGAGGTGCTGTCCAAATTCATCGACTTCAAGAATCTGGTGGAAAGGCAGACAGGAAAAAGGCTTAAATGCCTGCGGAGTGAAAACGGCGGAGAATTTGTCAACAAACAGTTTGACGAATGTCTCAGGCAGCAAGGAATTGACAGACAGCTAACAATATCGTATACTCCCCAGCAAAATGGAGTTGCGGAACGGGCAAATCGTACGGTAGTGGAGATGTCGAGTTGTCTTCTGGTTCAAGCGGGTCTGGAAGATTCTTTTTGGGCAGACGCTTCGGCTTATTTGAGAAACCGCTCCTCCACAAGCGCATTCGAGAGTATGACTCCTATGGAAGCGTGGACGGGTAAGAGACCTTGTGTAAAACACCTAAAAGTTTTTGGATCTCTTGCAGTTGCTCTGGACAAGGATCCGAGGAAGGGCAACAAATTTCAACCTAAGGGCAAAGAGTACATTATGGTTGGGTACTCTGTGGCAGCCAAAGGGTATCGACTGTACGACCCAGCAGCTCGACAACTGGTTGAGAATCGGGATGTTTTATTTGATGAACATCATGACGTGACATCAAAGGGTGATGCTGTGACGATTGAGCTGGAGGAACCAGAAGAGACCTGCCAGCAGCAGGGACCCGGAGATACAGAAATTGTTTCTGACTTATCCGTCGATCCCGACAGCTCAGATGAGAGCACGGATCAGTACGAGAGTGCTGAAGGTAAGGACGAGGAGGTCGTGGAGGAGGCACGCAGGGGCCCCGGTCGCCCAAAGATTATCCGGACTGGGAAACCTGGACGTCCTAAGAAGCAGTACAACATCCTTGGCGCACTTGTTTCGGAAAATGTTCCGATTCCATTATCCTGCAAAGAGGCGATGGAGAGTACAAATGCCAAGGAGTGTCGTGAAGCTATGGCAAGAGAATATGAATCTCTGGTTGCCAACCAGACTTGGCAGACACAAATCTGCGATGCAAGTGGGTGTTTAACGTGAAGCGTGATAAAGATGGCCAAATAGAACGCTTCAAGGCTCGATTGGTAGCAAAATTATGCTCCCAGCAGTTTGGCGTAAATTACCAAGAAACGTTTTCGTCGGTATGCCGATTGGAGAGTGTGCGATTCATTATTGCACTGGCGGCGGAGCTCAAGCTACATCTTCACCAAATGGATGTATGCACGGCGTATCTCAACAGCGATCTGAGTGAGACGGTCTACATGAAGCAGCCGGATGGCTACTCAGATGAAAAGAATCCTGATAAGGTATTGCTGCTGAAGAAAGCAATATATGGTTTGAAGCAGTCAGGAAGGGCCTGGAACGAGAAGCTAAATGGCGCACTGGTGGATATGGGATTCGTTGCCTGTGACAACGAGTCATGTTTGTACAAGCAGTTTGGAGAATGTAATCTATCAATAATCCTTGTATATGTTGACGATATACTTATAGCTTGCCAATCGCACGAGGATTTGCTGAAAATCAAGAGCAGCATTTCACAGTCATTCGAGTGCGTTGACAAGGGTCCGCCTAACCATTTCCTGGGCATGGAAATCGAACAAGACGGCGAACTTGGAGCGATTACTTTGGGACATACGCAATACATGAAGGACTATTGCATGCCCATGGAAGCGAACATTGCAAATCGGCGAAGACACCTTTGGATGCTGGTTTCCAAGTAGATTGCACAATCCTGCAGTGCAAAAAGGTGGATCCTACTGTTTATCAGTCCGTAGTGGGAGAGCTTATGTGGCTAGCTCTTACAACAAGGCCAGACATATTGCATTCGGTGTCTAAATTGGCACAACGGAACCAAAACCCGCATACTGAACACATGGCTGGCATAAAGCACATCTTTAGATATCTCTCAGCCACGATTGACAAGAAACTGCACTTCCGGCAATGTGGTCAATCGTTCTGTGGATACGTGGATGCGGATTGAGCAGGCGATAGACTTGACAGGAAGTCTTACACTGGCTACATCTACCTGTTAGCAGGTGGTCCGATTTCTTGGCGTTCGGAAAAGCAGCGAAGCATGGCGTTAAGCAGTACCGAGGCGGAGTACATGGCTCTATCGGCGGCATTCAAGGAGGCGATTGTCAGGCGAAGGCTGATTATGGAGATCGGATGCGGAGACAACGACACCCCGATCGTCGTGTATGGAGATAATCTGAGTGCGCAGGCGTTAACCAAGAATCCTGTTCATCATTCCAGAACAAAGCACATTGATATATGTACGTTATCATTTTGTCAGAGAAGTTGTTAAGGAAGGGCAAGTTTTGTTAAAATATAAATGTACAACTGTAATGATAGCAGATATTTTGACGAAAAACCTTCCAAAAACGAAACACGAAGAGTTTATAAAAATGTTTAATTAGTTTTGAGAATAGTTTTTTGTAAACAAGCTTGCATTGAGGAAGGGTGTAGAAAATAGAATACCCTGAATATTTCTCTCTATACAATGCACGATTGTATAGGTATAGGAAAGAGATCTTGAAGTATCTATATTTGTCTCGCTCTAAGGAATAGAGAATACTTTTACCACTTTTTGTTTCCTCTTCAACTTCAATTCAGTCGCAAATAAAATTCCGCAGCATACACACGGTGTTCTGATTTCTCGCTTTAAATTCTGCCGCTCAATACTTATTATGTTTACAGTTTGACAGGTATAATTTTACATTCACATCTTACATTTTCTCTACATCTACCGATTGCTTCTATGGCAGCTATATGATATAATTGTCCGATTTTTATAAAATTTATACCAAAATTCTGAAATAATAAAATAAGCTTATATCTCAGAGTAGATGAAAATACGTTGAAAAACAACAAAGTTATAATTTCTTTTAATTTCCCAATCTTTCCTATGACAGCTATAAGATATAGTCGTCCCACTTTCATAAAATTTGAATTGAAAATCTGAAATAATATGATTTGGCCATATCTCAAAAATGGTGCAAAAATGTTGAAAAACAGCCAAGTTATAATTTTTTTCTAAAAATGTATCGAACATTTGTATGGCAGCTATATGATATAGTCGTCCGATCCGACATGTATAGCAGTGAGAGTATATAGAAAACTATATGCAAAGTTTCATTCAGATAGCTTTAAAACTGAGGGACTAGTTTGCGTAGAAACGGACAGACGGACATGGCTAGATCGACTCGGCTGTTGATGCTGATAAGGAATATACAAGGTGCGTTCCAAAGTAAACAGGACTTTTTTAATCTAGCACCATCTAGTGGCGTCATCTATATGTCAACTGGTGCGTTAGAATCTGCTATCCTTTATCGACTTCCAGTACAAATTTCAAGACATTTCATCTATTGGAAGTGAGGTTATTGCGTTTTAAGTGTCAGTATGTTTTTGTCATCGGTGCGAAAATGAGCTTCGAACAAAGAGCCTTAATGTTTTAAAATTGGTAAAACTTTTACCGAAACGTTTCAATTGATAAAACAAATTTATGGCGACGATTGCCTATCCCGTGGCATAGTGCACGAGGGGTTTCAACGTTTTCAAAGTGGTAATGAGGACATAAATGACGATGAACATGTGGACCAACCAAAATCCGTGATCACCGAAAATTCCATCGAAATTGTGCGAGAATTCATAAAAAATCAGCCGAAATCATCATTGAAATATATGGAAATAGAATTGAACATCTCCAAAACATCGATTTATCGCATTTTGACCGAACATTTGGCCTTACAAAAGGTGTGTGCACGGTTTGTTCCGCATAAATTGACTAACGTCCAAAAATTGCTCCGCTTGTGTCCGACTATTTGACGA